GATCAAACTAGTAAAGCTCACATTTTATGAAGATAGTGCACTGTAAGTTTTAGCTTGTATTATTCTGCACAGCTTTTTAATTGCTTATTACATTATCTCTTAAATTCTTTCTTGACTTGCATTTATTTCCTGCTGTGATGACCCACTTTCCTGGGGCCAAAAATTCCCTAATACCACATACATTGCATTTAATACTATTTTCCCTGAAAACACACACACACACACATACAGAAATAAAACAAAAACAAACAGCAAATCCCCAATTCAGTTAGTGTAGGCACAACAATATTATGCCTACATTGACTGAACTTCGGGGATGAGAGTAAGGCAATCACTGCCGACAAACTAAAGTACATCTGTGTGTGTGCTTGACGTGTCACTGAGCACCTAGTCTCAAAGGTAAAAAGGATACAGCATGTTGCAATAAAAAAAAATGGATTTTTATTCCATGTATGGGTACAGCGTTGATGCACAACCCTTCAGTTATAAATATAGCCTTTTATATATGGTTTACAACTAATTTCAACCCCAGGATCTGCCAAGTTTCATGAGTCTTAATCCTCATAAGTAAACTTCATAAACAGACACACACATAGATCACATACAACATCACATATAAACACATATGATAAGATAAGAACTTTATTTATCCCGAGGGAAATTCTTCTGTCATACATATGCTCATTGCAGCAAGAGAGACAGAGGAACAGAGGAATAAGCTATACAATAAGAATACTAGTATACAGTAATATACAGTAGGATAGTGCAAATATAATATCAAATAACTCGAACAATATAACTATATCCCGAAAAATAAATAGTCGTATTGCAGTATTATTACTGTACATACAGTATTATTCACAGAGTTTGTGTATAAGAGATCAACACAGCCACCCTTGTGAAGCCTCAAGCCAAGTTGAGCAGTGGAGTGTGGTGACTTTTACAGAAAGGCAAGCAGAGACGATCCCCCACCCGTATACACACCAACAAAAACATCCACCACTATTTACCTATTTCACAAGATTAACTGGATCAGATTAAAACATACTATTTGTCCTGCCTGTCTGTCGGCACCCTACATGGATGTCTTTCTGCAGTCCTTTGTGGTTGAAGAATTGTAAAATGTTACGTTCTTAGTCTAGGCGAGTATTGAACGCAACAAGAAATTGGCCCACTCACACACCACCCAAGCAAGAACACAAACAGCAATATCTTTTTAAAGTGCTAAGCAGCCATTTATTTTCTTCAGCAGTGAGCAGTGCCAAAAAATAACGGTCCCTATGCTTTCCTATACAAATAAAAAACCAACCAAAAGACTATTCACTTACCTAACTTCCTGAATGAAAAACAGGAGAAAACTTAAACAAAAATGGCTTCTCACGCCTACTAGGCTGCTGCAGTGAAGAATATATACTAGATGAACAAAATACACAATTGCTACTTTACAAATCTTTTTACAGCTATTTACAAAACTAAGATACTAACACAAGTCAAACACACACGGTTATACTTGCAAATAAATGGGCAAAGACACTCTATGAAACAACGACTCAAAAACACATGCTCTTTGTTGGATGGTGGAGGCTAGTAGAGAGAGGGCCAGGCGGCTGTCATCCAGTAGTTAAGTACTGGAGGTGATCAACCAGGTGTCCACCTCCTAAGAGAGAAAGGGGAAAAAACCCACAGCCATCCTCTGGTGGGAGGAGTCACACATAAAACAATCATAACACTTCTATAGTTAAATAAATATCTATCTATCCGTCCATTCTCTTCCACTTATCCTTGACAGGGTCGCAGGTGGGCTGGAGTCTATCCCAGCTGTCTTAGGGCGAGTGGCAGGGCACACCCTGGACAGGTCCCCCCCCCCCCCAAAAAAAAAAAAAATTTGAAGAATTTTTCAAACCAAAACATTGTGAAAATACTTCAGTACAATTAAAGCTGTATTGGAAAATTGTGCACCCAAAGTTCATCCAGCCAACCATCTATGCATTTTCTTCTGCTTATCTGAGAATAGGTCGTAGAGGCAGTCTAAGCAGAGAGGCCCAGAGCTCCCCTTTCCCCAGCCACCTCCTACAGCTTATTGGGGGAACACTGAGGCAATCCCAGGCCAGCCGAGAGATATGATCTCTCGGCTGGCCTTGGTCTGCCCTGGGCCTCCTTCCAATGGGACCTGCCTGGAACACCTTAGCCAGGAGGCGGCCAGGGGGCATTCTAATCAGATGCTTGAACCACCTGAACTGGCTCCTTTCAACGTGGAGGATTAGCGCCTCTACTCTGACATGACTCTCAAATGACTGAACTCCTCACCCTATCTCTAACAGAGAGGCCAGCCACCCTTCAGTATGGGCTGCCTGGTCCATTTCTACGGGCCATGCGGTCCCTGTACAACTGATGCAAAAGCTTGGGTTTGCCGGCAGTAAGTCAGACTTATTTCCTGTGGGAGTTGGATTGCTTTGTCACCGATTCTGTTGTTTTTAAGGAAAGAATTTGTGCTAAACATATTAATATTACTGCTGTATATATTTAAGGCTGAGCTCATTTTAAATACTTTATATTCTGTTTAATGCGGGGGTGTCAAACTCCAGGCCTCAAGGGCAGGTGCCCTGCAGGTTTTAGATATCACCCTGGGTCAGGACACCTGAATCAAATGATTATTTCATTACCAGACCTGTGGAGCACTTCAAGACATGTTGAAGAGGTAACATTTAAATCGGATGTGTTGGATCAAGGACACGTCTGAAACCTGCAGGACACTGGCCCTTGAGGCCTGGAGTTGGACACCTCTGATTTAATGCAAAGCACAGTCTTGAAATCTTTTGTTTCTGCTGGCTGTCCTGTCCGATGAGGACCACATATTTCTAAGAAAAAAGGTTTTCATGAGCTCCAAAACACATGCCTATATATTTATTTTTTTAAAAAGTATATTAAAATAGTATAGTAAAAACAACAAAAATGAAAATAAATCAGCTGAACTAAAAGGCCTGAGCAGTCTGTGACACAGTTAACTGTAAATATCTACAGGGGCTATTAAAATATGAATGGAAAATGAAGTGTTGGCAAAGCAGCTGGTTAAACGTACAATCAGACATTCTCATAGATGCTAATCTGAAAGTGCTACTGAACTTGCACCTGCTCAGCTTCCCTGTTTTATTAGGCCAGACGTAGTTAGAGCTGCTGTCCCCTCTCCATCATCATCTGCTTTCCTCACTAGTGTATTAAATGAGTTATTAACAACTTTGCTAATGCTAGCTGGGTTTCCACACAAAGTGCAGATCATAATTAGTCTCAGAGCAGTGAAAGTGGAGCCAGCGGCAGCTTGCCTCACACGCTGGTCTCCCATCAGTTTACAATGAAAGATCAGTGTTTTTTTCCTAAACCAGAAAACAGCTACTGGCCTCTTAGCTTGCTCACCTCAAGTCATTGTTAAAGGTAGACAAAGAAGCACTGCTTGCCTTGCTTGTCCTTACAGAATGGCACTGAAGCAGAGTGTTTTTGCTGTTCAAATGTTTTGAACACATTGTGATATGTAAGGGGTGGATCGGACAGAGAAACAAAGGGATGCTGCATACTCAGACTGTATCAAATTGTCAGTCACACAGTAAAGCATACCAAATTATCCTGCTCTTTTACTTTAATTGGACCATAATTTATAAAATGAATGTTGTGTTTTACTGAGGATGACTCTTCAGGAAAGTGTTGCTGAGGTCATGAATCGTGGGAGCCAAGTACCAGTTTCTATAGCCAAATGTCTTTTTGCAACCAGAGGAGATGCCACCTGATGGCTATTAGACAGCTATTAGACACTCTTGTTTTTTCTTCACCTATTATATCTGGAAGCTATGACCATTTTTTATTTACAGTATATGGTAATTGAGAATATGTTTTAGAGCTGCTAAAGCAGGACAGACTGGAGGCCTGTTAAAAATAAACTTCCTTCATAATAACAGCCTGTATACCCATCCAGACAATGCAATAAGAAGTCTGAGATGATACTTGGTGCTGTTTACTGTATGGTAGATGCCTTTCATTTTAAGTTCTGGGTAAGTGAAGGCAGCATGTCTGATAGTGTTTAGTTTTTTTTAAAATTAGCAAAAGGTGCAAAGACAGAAAGATGTAGCATCAATTCTATATAATTGTATGATGATCAAAATGTATTGTTTATAATAAGCTGAAGGGTTGCAGTAGTTGAAGATATGTTTTTATATATATATATTATGTTATGTATATTTGTTGTACAGAATGTGACTTCTGAAATACTTAAAGGGTTTTGTCATATTGTGTTAAGTCTTTGGAATTTCACACATAATATCACAAATATTATTTATTATTTTTTGATTTTACAGCTAATAATATAATGAATCTCACACATCAGTGCATATAAAATATGACATCCATAGAAACTTAATCTAATGTGACTATAAGTATTTATATATACTATACAGAAAATATTAGCTATAGCAATGATATAACGTGTGAGGACAACAGAGCTTGTTGTCTCAAAATGCACTCATGGTTTCTGCCTGATGGTTTAATAATAATCTGGAGATAAAGGATGACAATCCTTGATGGTTTGATTCAGCAATCTCTGGTTTCTCAATTAACAATTATTTTAAAATGTCCTCTCTTCTTTTCTTATTCTGGTTATAATTAAGGGCCACTAAATTATTTTGAGGTCAAGGGAAAAGCTCCTTGTTTGAAAGACTCAATTTTTAATTTAGAGCAACTCAGACTACAAACCTTTTACCATAACTCAGTGAATTTCTTATCTGAGGCTTATTCTTATTATGTGCCCTTTGCTTATTTTAATTCTTATCTTAAAAAACGAAAAGAAATTCCTACAGCTAAACCAAACAAAATAAAGAAAATGTAGTTTGTCTACGAGTGATAGTAAATGTGCTAGTCTACTGATTTTGATGACAGACAGACACCCAGAGTCAAAACCAAAACAATCCCAGCATGGCCAGTCGCTTATTGGGCGTTCGGATACGTCACAGTCTAACCCGGAAGTGCAGTGACAGCTCTTGTCAAAAATCCTTCATCTCTTTCGTTCAAGTGCGAAACAAAGGTGAGTTTAAAAGATGTAAAATGAGCTCTTCATATGCCTGTTATTTACGAATTTTATTGATTCCTCTATGGTAAAGTGCGTTTAAAGTTTGGCCGTAATTTAACGCTGGAAGCACTTTTACAGAGCTTCAATATTAGCCGCTAGCTGGCTATTGTTAGCAGGTAGGTAGCGGCTCGGGACTTATTTATACTGTTTCCGTTTCTGATTCACTTTTCCGCGGATTTTTTGTGCAATTTTATGCCATGACTGTCACGTCTGGGTTGTCACGGCAAGTTATCAGTCTGAACGTTTCCACATGGATATGCAAAATAATGAGACCCATGTTAGAAAAAAACATGTTATGCTTCATCATGCCTCAGTATCCTGCCAAATAGTGACCACGGCATCTCCCCTCTGTTGCTTCCCAATGCGCAGTGCAGGACAGCTGCAGGTTTCAGTCTGCCAGAAAGCATCTGAAAAGAGAGAGTCAAGCAGGAAGGCTACTGCAATGCAGGCTGTAGTACCTCTGCACGGTGGCTGGGAAAAAACTGGTGACTTTTAGATAAAGTAATGAACTCAAAGTTCTATGAATAACTTTTTTTTTTTGTGATATCCACATTCAAATGGCAAACATTTGGTACTGGAGCTACAAAAACTAGTAGTTTCTTGGTTTGTGAAGAAAAAAAAAAATCAGAAAACGTCTTTAAGATTTCAGTAGACCTTATAGAAACCCCTAGGGTGGATTTGGCTTTTATTAAAATGAGAGAAGACTTTATCTTTTGCTTTGTTAAATTTAATGTTTTTTTTTTTTAGTTTAGCTGATACATATAGACCAAGTTTAATTAAAAAATAATGATCAGATTAATCAGTAATAGCAATAACTGTTGCAGTCATTAGAGTTGGATGACTGAACAAATATCTACTGCTAATTGGCCAAGTCCATTGCCATTGGAGGAAGGCAGGGATTCTTTTCTTTTTTTGTGAATTTTGTTATTTCATTTACCTAATTTAGTAGCCTGCTTCTTTCATAATTATTAACTTGTGCAGCTCCACTGAAACAAAGTACTAATAGGAACTACCAGATGGATTTGTGCTGACGCTAGTACATGCCAGTGCTACGGTACTGTTTGGGCTGTTGGCCGTGAAAGTAAAACCACAGGATGCGTTCATAAAATATTGTAGCTGCAGAAAGGCAAGAAACGGGTAATTTTAGCCCTTTGCTCAGTCGTTGGCATCATAAAATCTCGTACATAATTGAAATATGAGTTAATAGATGTTATCGCCGTAAAATAAACATGATCAGATGCTTTCATAGCGTTTCATAGGTGCATACTTGCTAAAAACAGGGCATTTAAGTCCCTTGCTTGGTGGTTGCTAGGCAACCTTGTTATATCTGATAAAGGTAAGAGCCTTCCGGGGTCCAAAGCTGTGTCCATACTGGAAGCGTTGTGACGACTAGAGACCATAGAAAGGGAGGGAAATTTTGCAACTTAAGTGACTACAGGCAAAATAACCTGGTTTCAACTTTTCTGAACTTCTAGGCGAGCGACGGACAGCATTATCAAAAAGAGCAGAGAATACCTTTGACTGGCATATGACCTGGTGGTAAATACATTAGTGGGTTACCTAGGCAACTAGAGCCTGGAATGTCTGTCAGGGACGAGCAGTCGGCTTCAAAGTGATGCAAATTGCTTCCAGTGTGGACAGAGCTCAAGATTTACTAGTGTGCCAAGTTTAGCTCCTTGGGCTCTGATAACGTGGGTGTAGTGCATTATGGTGTATTATATTTATGTATGTTTTATATTAAGATTCTCCTGTAGAATATGGGAGTAAGAAGTCTGTTGTGAGAGTAGTGTGCATGTGGTAGCAAACCTGGAGAGGTGGAGGTATGCACTGAAGAGAAGAGGAATGAAAGTCAGTAGCAGCACGACAGAATGTGTATGAATGAGAAGGACACAGGTATATCGGTGAAGGTGAAAGAGTTTAAATGGGTGCCTGAGGTGATTTGTGACAGAACACGTCAGCAAAAGTGAAAGAAAAGGTGGCAGAGTTGATGAAACTCAGATTTTCCAGGATGGACAGGACTCGAAATAATTACTTCAGAGGGACAGCTCAGGTTGAGCTCTTTGGAGACAAAGTCAGAGAGGCAATGCTAAGATGGTTTGAACATGTGCAGAAGAGAGATGGGGGATATATTTGAAAAAGGATGTTCAAGATGGAGTTGTCAGGAAGACCACAGAGATCATTAATGGATGAAGTGAAGGAGGACATGCAGAGGGTTGGTGACAGAGTAGAATACTATGGATTGGGTGAGATGGATGCAGATGATCTACTATGACTACTCATAAAGGGAGCAGCCAAAAGAAGAAGTAAAATTCTTGTTGCACCATGTTCCCAATGGAACAAAACAAGACAGTTACTGTGCTAAGTGACACTGGACTTGATTGGTGCTGAATTGGTGCTGAATGTCAATTCACCTTTGAGATCTAGACCAAAATGTGTGGTTGTGGATCCTGATCATTTAATGGCATAAAATTTTCCCCCAGTTGTTTCTATTAAGAGGCTTAAGGGTTTCTCATCCTGTTGCCTTGTAATGGCCCTTCTCCTTGCTGGATTCATGTTTTAAAACCCAAAACTCACTATTGTGGCTATGAGGACACCAAAAGCTGTTTTTTACACATCATGCTGGAATAAATGACCAGATCTAACAGTGCATCTTTAAAATAATTAGGTGGCCATCTGAAAGGGCAGGTAAACATGTCTCATTTCGTATTTTCTATTAGTGATGTGACAAAAGTTGGTGGAACACTTTTTTGCAAAGCTGAATTTCCTAGTAAAAGATCTGCTAAGCGCTTGCTAAAAATTCAGCTGGTTTGTCCCACAGAGTTTTCTGCTCAGCTGTGCTGCGATTGTATGCATGAGCAAAGGGCATGTGGGAGTTCAGAAAAGCTCTGAATGGGAGTTTGGATTGATTCAGAAGAGTCTATGGTGAACAAATTTGAATCCCAAAAGATAACTCTTTGACTGGCTTAGCATTTTTCTCATTTTATCTTCTTAAACCGTGACACATCCACACATTCTTCACATATCTGTTGGTAAAGACGGATTCTTGATGTACAAGTTCGTGACTTGTTTTGGTGTGCAGGGAAATTGAATTTTTTTTTTATTAAACTGCAGCTCATTGCACAAAATAAAATCCTGACTTCATTCCTCAAGCTTACAATACGGTCGAACTATGCAGATTCAGGATCTGAATTTCAACATCCAGTCAGTTTTGTGTAACAGCTGTTGGCACTAGAGTCACAGTTGTCTAGCTGTGACTGTAAAAGATGTGATGTCACATCATTGTTTTTATTGTGTTGGTATGGAAGTGTTTTGTTCACTCTCTGGACATTGTTGTGTCTGTCAGAAAAGGAAGTAGATACAAACTGGTAAACTTTCAGTTCATATTCTGAATGCAGGTGAACTAATCTACTGTTTAAGAACAAGACAAATGAAACTAACAGTGTAGTTTTGGTAGATATTTCAATATAGATGTATAAATGAAAGTAGATGTATAAATGAAATCAACCAGGTGTCCAGTCCAATTTCTTTGCTAGTTTAATGGCCCTTTAGTCATAAATATTTCATATTTTTCTTACATTTTATTGTTGTAACTTTTTAAACCTATTTCAATTAAAATAAAACCATTTTGATTACAATAAATAAAGTAAAACATTTTTTATTTCATGTGTCCCATTAAAAAAAAACAAACAAAAAAGTTTTGCTTTCACTGTGGTGCAGCTGCCTCAGTCTGTCTTTAGCCGCCGCTCTGTGGTCTTGAGCGATGTCCTTTCCAATTTGATTGGTTACATTTCACAAGTAATAGCCTGTTAATGCTGAAGGCCACTTTGCCACAGACAGGCACAGAGGAGCAGCTTTTCAGAGTTTTGAAGGTATAACAGATATTTCCCAAGTTGCAATAAACACAATAATCCTATGATTTATTTCTTTGAAGACAAGCACTCTGTTTTCCAGTTACATTGTCTGATTAAAGCACTTTATTACAGTAATCATACAGTTCACTCAAATGTGATGCTGAAGCTTTACTGTATGAATCAGTAGCATAAATGTACTTTTATTTTAATTACAAATAATTAGTAATGTTTTTGAGTCTAAACAAAGAAAACCAAACAGGTTCCTTAGTCACATGGGTTTGGGTTATAAAGATTGTGTTAATTATACCTTTTCTTATAGTTAGCTGTGAATGCTCAGTGAATATATGCATGCAATGAAGTTAGCATTTGGTTGAGATCATTATGTTGTTACTATTGTAAATGTTCTTTTTATATTTTTTCCACTAGTATGCATGATATAATATGATATAATATTGTTAATTTAAACATGTAGGTAATTGTGACTTTGTTGTGCCAGCGTCAGTCTTTCTTCACTTTTAGGCCAGCATTTTTTTATTTTTATTTTTATTTTTTTTAATTTGTACGAGGAAATTTATTATTTTTCCACAGTTCTTCAAAAGCCATTAAAAAAAAACAAAACTAAAACCTGTAGTGGTTGAATTTATAAACACAAAATTATGTTTTTGTGTTTCTTGTTTGTGTGAGTTGTGTGGGGTTTTATTTTTTATTTTTTTTGTATCTGAGTGAACTGCCCAAATAAATTCTATGTAAGAGGAACACGGATCAGGCTGTTAACAAGATCAGTTTGGAGGGGACAGGCCAGATGCTGTGTTTCATATTGCTGAGCTGTATGCATCAAAAGTGGTTATTAGACAGGTGGCCTTTCCATAGACTTCCACCTGGCAGCTGGCAGATAGGCACACTTTTTCCTTTTGTATCTAGCTGTGTGTGTGTGTGGACTGAGACCACTTGTCTTGATTTAAAAGTGCCTTTCTGGCTCCTCGTATTCCTCAAATTTAAACTCTTACAGTGATGTGTGTCGCGCTCTCCCTCTAGTTGACTGTGTCCATTCAGCTCGCTGCTGTATATTAAACTATTCAACCACTCTGTTAGATGTTCTTTACA